ACCCCCCAAGGGGGCTGTGGTGCCCTGGGACCCCAAGATGGACCTATCTGAGGACCCCCCCTGTTGTCTGTGCCTGCAAGACCTGTCTTGGACTGTGTTCCTGTCGTCTAAATAAACCTTCTGCTTTACTGGCTGGCTGAGAGTCATGGTGAATCGCAGGAAGCCGGGGGTGCAGGGCCTTGGGTCCCCCCACACTCCGTGACACCTGTATCTACCAGGTGTCATGTGGTATGTCACCAGGCAACTAATGTCTTGCTAGTCATTCATGTTCTTGTGTGATGTACGTGCGGTGTGTAGTAAGAGTTATGGATACACACTGGAATTACACTAACGGGTGTTTAAACCAGGCACGTCAGGGGAGTTGGTAAACAGGTCTGCCCTAGACAAAGGAAGGCGTCTTTGCTTCTATGCCCAGCCCAGGGTCAAGCAGAGACAATGCAGGTCCATTTACATGTCAGGCAAACGAAGCCCCAAGCTACCACCTGGGGCAGGAGAAAGCTTCCAGCAGGGAAGAGAAACTTTATCTGGGCTATAAAGACAGGGGGTCTGAACCTCACGTGCTAAGCAATTGGATCACCTGATTGTGTCCAACATTTCTGGGTTATAACCATGTATGGAGTGAGGTGTTTAGTGAAGGCCTGGCACACGCTGGTGATTAACAGCACCACCAAATGTCTGCACGGCCGTGACACTCCATCAGGAACTATGGGACATTGCGCTTCACAGAGTGTCCTAGCAAAGGAGAAACAGGTCCTTCCCCGCCAGCAGGGAACGTCACCGCTGTCCCCGTCTCCTACGTCCGTTAAGCGTGGCGGAGTCACAACCTGGAAGCCCCATTTCCAAGCAGGGGATGGGAAGCCCACAGGAAGGGAAAAACATCCAGCCAATCGGCCTCTGGAAATAAGGTCATTGGCCTTTGGGAGACATCGGCAAAGCCAGCTGCCATCTGTGACACCCGGCACTAGGCAGGGTCAAGGGAACAGGGCTCTGGCAAGCCGAGAAAGGTGGGTTCTTCAAGCCGGGGGGGGGGGGGGGGGGTGAAGTCTCTGCAAACTGAATGTAGGTGAGGAACCTGTGTAGGCAAAGAGCTTTCACCAAAAGAAACCAGCCCCTTGCGCGTCTGCGGAGAGCCAGCCAGCCATGGCTGGGAAGGAGAAATCCACCTTGAACAAAGCCCAGGTCACTGGAAAGTGTCTTTGGTTGTGTTTTACTGGTCGCTGTCCGTCTCCATTCCTTAGGTACCCTGATGGCTACTTTGTGACTCGTTTGTTTATTTGTACGATAAACCAGCTCCGGGCGGTGCGGGAAGGGCAGGGTGGATTCGCCCCAGTTAGGGTGACAAGATGTGATCTGCTTTGGTCTCTCTAAAGGAGCAAGGAGCCGTATTATTGCTCTGAGTGGGCAGGGGAGGGCTGGGCGCTGCAGGGCACATGGTTTTAGGGACATTGAGGACTGGGAGTGTGTCGGGGCCTGGGATGAAGTGGGACATTTCTTAGTGTTTTGCATGAACCCTGTGTGTGCCTCAGTTTCCCTGTGTGCTGCATGTGTAACGAGGGGATGGAAGGGGGGTTGCAGAGGACCAGGTGTGACCTTGTCTAGCAGCCGGGACCCCAGACACAGCCTGGAGCTTGGGGACCCAGTGACTAGTGCCCGGGAGGCCCAGCCCAGCTGGGAGCCAGACGGTTACGGCCAGTGGGAGGACAACGGGCTGAGGAGAGAGAGGCCAGGGGACCTGCCCAGCCAGTTCCAGCCGGGGCGGGACAAAGGCCGGAAGAGAGAGGGTGCAGGCAGCCTGTTTATCTGGGACGACGGACACAGGACAGATGAGGGGCTGGTGGGGGAGGGGATATTAGGTGGTTGGCTGGAAGGAGGGGGCAGGGCGGGGTGGGGCTGGGCTGGGGACAAAAAGCTGCCTGGGCCCATCGGGACCAGGACAGACCCATCTGGCCGGGGCTGAGACTGGCCAGGCCCGAGGGCCCTGAGAACTGCCTGGGCTGGGTCCAGATGCTCAACAAACCACCTGTGTGGCTGGCTGAGTCACTGCAGGCTGGAGATCGGGGGGCGTTGCTCCCTCTGGGGGAGGCCCTGGGGGCCCAGAGCGAGTGGGCTCCCTGAGGGGGCCCACGGCAGAGCCAGGCGTGCTGGGGGCCCAGAGGTGCGTTGCCGGGAGGGGGTGGGGCAGAGGGCCTAGCCCCAGAGACCGACGGGGGGGCCTGTCGCACTGAAGGGGTTCTATGAGTCAACAGTGTGCCCTTGTTGCCAAGAAGGCTAACGGCATTTTGGGCTGTATAAGTAGGGGCATTGCCAGCAGATCGAGGGACGTGATCGTTCCCCTCTATTCGACAAAGCCCTGGCTGGGATGATTTAGTTGGGGATTGGTCCTGCTTTGAGCAGGGGGTGGGACTAGATACCTCCTGAGGTCCCTTCCAACCCTGATATTCTATGATTCTCCCCGGGACTGTACGGAGCCCAGAGCCGGGGACTGTCTGGGACAGGGCCCCCTGGCCTGTGGAAGCGAGTGGGGCTCCAGCCAGGGTGCTGGGGAGTGAGCATGTGGGGCACACACACTCGGGGCGTGACCGGCGGGCTGGGAGCTACCGGACACAGGGCGAGCGGTGCCAGCCCCCAGTGCTGTGACCTGCCTCCGGGCCGAACGCACCCCACCCCCTCCATGGCTAGGAGACCCCGCCCCACTTCTACACCCCCCATCTGCATCACGGCAACGCGACACACCTGGGCAGGGAGCCCTGGGCACTGTGGGGACTCCAGCCAGCCCAGCCTCTGCAGCACGTCTCCTCCGCAGCCGGGCTCCTGCCAGCACATCCCACCTGCCCACGGGCATCAGGCCAGGTTCAAGGTCTCGGCCCTTCCCTCTGGGGCGCCCCAGGGCCTGGGCCCAGCGGATCTTGGAGCCGAAAGCTCCAGGGTGGGGACGGAGATCGACAGCTCTGTCCTTAGGCCCTCACCAGGGCCAGGCTCGCCTGGGTGGGAGACGGAGCTGCCACGGGGCCTAGTCTGGATGAAACAAGGACAAGCCGAGCCCCCCCGGCCGTGCCCAGCTCCAGGCCTGCGGAGCCGACCGGCCCCCTGCTGGCGCGCCCAGCCCCCCCGAGAGCAGTCCCGCGACAGGGGCTGTGCCCGGCGACGACGGGGGCTCGGGCGGGAACCGTATGGAATAACGTGGGGGCGCGTCGCCGGGCAGGGATGGTAACTGGGGTCCCGGCCTGCCCTGCCGCACTCACAGGGCTCCCAGCCACTCACCTCAGCGGAGCAGCCCACCCCACAGCTCAGCCATTCCCGGTACCTCTGGGGCAGGCAGCAGAGCAGCCGGGGCAGCACGGGGTAGATGGTGCGAGGGTTGACGGTCGCTCCCTTGGTGGGACCTGCCAGGGCGAGGGACAGAGTACAGGGGGTTACACAGGCCCCTGCGCCCCTCAGACTGTCCTGCTCCTGGTGCCAGGCCAGGCCCTATGTCCCCACTTCAGCCTGCCCTTCCCCAGGCCCGGAGCGCAGAGACCCCCGGTGCCAGGGGAGGCAGGGTTGGGTCTATTCTCTCCTTCCCTGCCCTCCCCTGGGGCAACCCAGCCTGGACCGGCCACGGCCAGGAGCCCGCAGCCACACGGCACCAACGGCTGTGCCTGGGGCAGGCCGCAGCCCCTGGCCTCAGGACAGACGCCCCCCAAGGGCAGCGCTGCATGCTGGGCCGTAGCCTCTGCTCTCCGGTCATGGGCATCCAGCCCCCAGCCTAACAGGGAGCCTGGGGGGGCCCCAAACGTGAGCTCCGCCCGCAGCCACGAGCCCTTCATTCCCCCGCCCCCACACAGCCGAGAGTGGGATTTTCTGTCCTGTCCCTGACCTACGGGCCTGGCCGCGACCCGCCGGGCTCAGGGCTGCCAGCCTGTGGGGGCTGCTCTTGGGTAGGAGACAGGAGGTGGGGGGGCAGCACCGCCGAAGGCTAGGACCAGCTAGAGCCGCGACCAGGCAGACAGGGGAGCCCAGGACAGACCCATGGACAGTGGGAAGCTCCGGCAGGCAGGGATCCGGTTCCTGGAGCAGGCTGGCTCTAGCAGCCCTGGTGTCGGCCAGCAGGGACTTAACCCCGACTTCCCTGGGCCAAGCCAAGGGCCCCCCACGAGAGCTGCTCTGGGGGAAAGGCTGCCTGGTGTCCCTGCAGGCACTGGCGGGCGCAGGGGTCCCTGCAGAGCGGCCGAGTCTCTCCCGGGCGTCTGGCTCAGCGGGACTCGCTGGGCAGAGCGACGGGCTGAGGCAGGAGCCCTCCCCTTGCGGGACTGGCACTCCAGGGCCTGCTTAGAACTGGGGGGTAGCCAGATCCTCTGGATCCATGAGAACCTCTCACCCCCCCATGCACAGCCAGGAGCCCCTCACTCTCGCCCCCCCCCCAGTCAGGAGCCCCCCCGCACGTACCCGTGAGCAGGCTGACCAGCAAGCCCACCAGGATGACAGTGGTGGAGTTGTGGGCGCTGTACCACATGTACGACAGGCTGTAGAATTTCTGGAGCCCCGAGAGGCTGTGGGGGGAACAGCCGGGTTAGGGGGCAGCTGGGGACCTGGCACCCGCACAGGCTCCAGCCGCCACTGGACATCTCTGCTCCCTCGGCGGGCCCAGGGCCCCGCGTGCCTCCGTCTGCAGCCCGGCAGGAGGTTAACGCCTCTTCACCCCTTCGGGGGATGCTCCTTTGGTCTCCCAGCAGCCTCCAGTGGGGGTACAGCAGCCTCCCCTGTGCCTGGCAGGCACCGGAGCCCAGTCCCCAGCCCCCTCCCCCGGTGGAGCCCAGTCCCCAGCCCCCTCCCCCGGTGGAGCCCAGCCCCCTCCCCCCGCGGAGCCCAGCCCCCTCCCCCCGCGGAGCCCTCCCCCCCGGCAGAGCCCAGTCCCCAGCCCTCTCCCCCCGGCGGAGCCCAGTCCCCAGCCCCCTCCCCCGTGGCCAAGATGCTCAGGGAAGGGCTGGGGCCAGACCCCCCCGCAGCACGGCTCCCCAACTCACCGCTTTGGGGCCGGGGTCGAGGTCAGCAGGGTGGTGGCGAGGGCCGTGCTCAGGTTGCTGGCCTGCGGGAAGTCGGTGATGTTGGACAGCGGCGGGGCCGAGGGGGCCGCCCGCAGGTTGGACACCAGGCTCCCAATGCCGATCCAGAAGGCCATGGCCAGCCCGGCTGCCAGCCCGGCGATCGCACCCTGCACACGGGGACAGCAGTCAGGGGCGGCCCGTGCAGCTCCGGGGACCTCCGTGACCCCGAGGGGCTGCTTCACCCCGCTGGGGAGGCACCGAGACCCCTGCCCAGCCGGTGGAGGGGCCATGCCGCAGCTGAATCCATCTCCCTGCTGGGCGCGGCCTCAGTTTCCCCCGTGCTGTGTCGACTGCAGCGGAGCTCAGCGATTCACAGCGGCTGGGGCCTGGCCAGTACCGGGCCTGCTGCGCCCCCCCGCCCAGCCAGACCCGAAGGGGATGGGAGCAGACACAGGCCCAGCCCGGGGCTGGGGCCTGCAGACGCTAGGGAGGGGCCCAGGCGGGAGGGACACTCACGGTGGGATTGGCACACGGGAAGAACATCCCTAGGCAGAAGAGTCCCAGCAGCGGCCCGCCCACCATGCCGAAGATGCTGATGGCAGCCTGTGGGGAGACAGCGCGTCACCCCTGCAGCAGGGCCCAGCCCCTGGGACAGAGGGCAGCGGGGCTCCCCGCCGCAGGCTGGGACACAGAGAGGGGGAGACATGTACTAGCAACAAGCCCCTTTGGGCACTGCCGGGCGTTCACAGGCAGAGGCCAAGGGACAGGGAAGTGCTGGGACCGTTACACAAGGCACGGTGAGCTGGGGACGTCTCCGCTGGAAGCAATGGAGGAGGAGAGACCTGGGTGTATGGGTCCATCACGGGGGGACTATGAGCTGCTAGTGTGATGCGGCCGTGATAAAGGCTAACGCAGTCCTAGGGTGCATCAGGCGGGGGATTTCCCGGAGAGACGGGGACGTGCTAGTATCATTATACCAGGCACTGGTGAGCCCTGGGCTGGAACACGCGAGCAGGGCTGCTCTGCCGCGGGTAAGAAAGATGAACTCAGACTGGAAGAGGTGCAGAGAAGGGCGACGAGGCTGATCGGAGGAACGGAGAACCTGCCTTACGAGAGGAGACTCAACGAACTCGGCTTGTTTAGCCTGACCAGACGCAGGCCGAGGGGAGATCGATCGCTCTCTCTAAATCCATCCCAGGGATAAACACCAGGCTGGGGGAGGAGTTATTGAAGCTAAGCGCCCATGTGGACACAAGAACACGTGGCTAGAAACTGGCCATCAACAGGTTTAGACTTGAATTTAGACGAAGGTTTCTCACCACCAGAGGAGTGAAGTTCTGGAGCAGCCGCCCAAGGGGAGCAGTGGGGGCAAAACCCCGAACTGGCTTCCAGGCTGAGTGTGATCAGTTTATGGAGGGGATGGTGTGATGGGGCTGCCGACGATGGCATGGAGCTGATCTGCGACCGCTAGCAGCAAATACCCCCAGCGGCCGGTGATGGGACACTGCAGAGAATTCTTTCCCAGCTGTCTGGCTGGTGGGTCTCACCCACACGCCCAGAGTCTGACTGATCCTGGATTTGGGGCTTGGAAGGAATTTTCCCCGGGTCAGGCTGGGAACCCTGGTGGTGGTGGTGGGGGGGGGGGTTCGCCTCCCTCTGCAGCCTGGGGCCCGGGTCACTCGCTGGTTTGAACTACTGTGAATGGTGGAGTCTCTGTCACGTGAAGTCATGACCCTGGGGGGGTCATGTCCTACCTGCAGCATGGGGCCCATCATGGAGGAGAGGTAGGCCATCCCCAGGCAGAGCAGGCCATAACTGAGAGCTGGGGAGGAGAAGGGGGTTAGAAGCTGCAGCATCACTCAATACAACAACCTGCCCCTGGGCAGGGCACAGCCAGGAGCCTGGGGCAGCGGGTCGGGAGTGAGGGGCACCGGCAGAGCTGCGGGGGGGCAGGGCTGGGCTAGCAGGGGCTGCGGGTCGGGAGTGAGGGGCACCGGCAGGGCTGGGGGGGGGCAGGGCTGGGCTAGCAGGGGCTGCGGGTCGGGAGTGAGGGGCACCGGCAGAGCTCAGTGGGGAGCAGGGCTGGGCTAGCAGGGGCTGCGGGTCGGGAGTGAGGGGCACTGGCAGAGCTGGGGCTGGGGAAGCAGATCCAGATGGGGAAGAGCTCCCACAGATCTGCCTGCCCGGGGCTGGCTCGGGGTCTTTCTTTGCATGGCCACTGGGACCTGGCAGCGGATCAGGGGCTGGGAGGACGCCCCTCCCCCCCGGGAGCGTGGGACAGACCCCCCAGCAGGGAGCCGCGTGGCCTGCAGGAGCGTGACTCACCCAGCAGCTTAGAGAGCAGCGTGGCATGGGACTCCCGCAGGCCGGGGAAGTAGGGGTGGATCAGGTCCTCCATGGTCACTGTGGCCAGGGAGTTGAAGGCCGAGGAAATTGTGCTGCAAGGCAGAGAGAGGAGCTGGGGTCGGATGGGAGGGGCCTGCTCCCGTCACACCCAGCCCGGACACAGGGGACTCTCAGCACCCGGGCGCTGGGCACTGCCCGGGCACAGGGCACTCACCTCAGGGAGCCGCTGAAGAGGCAGGCGACGAAGAGGCCGGGCAGGCCGGGCAGGTCCTTCAGGACGTCCATGACGAAGTACAGAACCAGCTGCAGAACATAAGGGCCGTACCGGGTCAGACCGAAGGTCCATCTAGCCCAGTATCCTGTCTACCGACAGTGGCCAATGCCAGGTGCCCCAGAGGCAGTGAACCGAACAGGTGATGATCAAGTGATTTCTCTCCTGCCATCCATCTCCACCCTCTGACAGACAGAGGCTAGGGACACCATTCCTTACCCGTCCTGGCTAATAGCCATTCATGGACTTAACCTCCTGCAAAGGCAGGAAGCTGGTCAGGGTGCCGGCCGGCCGGGGGAGGGGAGAGGGCATGGGAGGTCAGGGCGCTGGCCAGGGGAGGGGAGGTCAGGGCACCGATTCGCTGAGGGGGGCGAGAGGCCAGGGGCACCCAGGGGAAGGGACAGCATGTGAAAACAATCAGCAGCCGTCGCTAGCAGCGTCACCATCACTCAGAGCCGCCATCGTTGGGTTTCAGAGTTAACGCCCCGGGGCTGCATGGTGCCGTTCCCCTGCCCAGAGCCAGCGTTGCAGGCTCTCTGCTGACTCAGGCAGGCATCAGGCGGCTGGGAAGGTTTCCCTTCTAGCAGCAAGCCCATGGGAGCAAGGCCGAGGGGCCGTCTCCGAGCGAGGAAGAAAGCTGCCCAGAGCTCTCGCAGTCGGGAATCCCCAGGAGGGGGGCCCTGGCTTTCGGGTGAGGGGGTCGATCCCGGGCCCAGCCCGGCACTCACCTGGTCGGAGGAGGCCTGGCTCTGGGCTGCCGTGAGCGGATGCTCCTGGTAATAGGCAAACATGACCAGGCCCGTGAGGCAGCTGAGGCACAACACCACCTGCTGGCAGGGGAAGACGGCGTAGCAGGAGCTGCGAGGGACGAGGGGGTGTTACAGGGGCGCGTGCAGCAGGAACCCTTGGGACCAGTTCTCCAGAGCCCCTCGCCAGCAGGAGCTGGGCCCAGCGCTCCCCGGGCAGGGCAGGCTGTAGGGGCCAGAGGGAGCTCTGAAGGCCTTGGCTGTTGGGGTCCCTGCCCCGCTGGAGCCGGGGGGCCCGTGCAGAGCACCTCCCAGCTGCCCAGGCCCCTGGCGGGACTCTGCCCAGCTGCGCGCCATGGCTCCCCCTGCCCCCCATACTCACAGCACGGCCTCCCGCTCGGTGCGGGAGCTGAGGTAGCGCTGCACCTGGGCCTGGTTCACGCCGTACAGCGACAGCATCATGAAGACGCCCCCGACGGCCAGGGTCCAGAAGGTGTGACGCTCAAAGGGGTCGGGGTTGAGGCTGCAGCGAGACACAGACGGGCAAGTGCTGGAATCTGAGCTTGTGGGGCTGGGAGTGAGGGGTCCCGGCCCCCACAGAGCACTCGGGGCTGGGAGCACGGTGCGGCTGCCCCCCACGGCTCCCTGCTCTGCTTTATGGGACCGTTTCTCCTGCCCAAAGCAGGGCCTGCGTCGGGCCGTGGCTTGTCTAGCGCCCCCCGGGCCTTCCCTGACCCGCAGCGCAGGCAGGTCCCACGGGAGTGGGCTAGGTTCTCCCCACCCAGGGCCGGCTCCAGGCACCAGCTTAACAAGCAGGTGCTTGGGGCGGCCAAGGGAGAGGGGCGGCACCTGCGGCAATTCGGGGGCAGCAGGTCCCTCACTCCCTCTAGGAGCGAAGGAC